CTCCATGTCTTTGGTGAATGTTTAATATCATATCCTGAAAATTACAGTATGAATGTAGCATAGCCATTGCATGTATCTATATTTTATTTAACTAATCATATTTGGTGCACATTAGGAGGGATAATAAGAGCAACCACATTGAGGAGATGTTGTAAATGGAACCATATTAACTAAATCTTTCATTAAATGTGTTCTGGAGGGGAAAAATGGCCATAAAAGAAATATGAAACAGCTTTGTAAGTTTTCAGTTAAGGCAAATAGAATGCAGTGACAAATAAACAGTGCTATTTATTGCAGATTAAAATGCTAATTATACTCAATCAAACCTAATGATGAAGCTAGAAGGGTAATAGTCTAAATTAAACCAATTAAATATATCCTAAAGGAAAAATGCTTCTTTTTAAATATCTACATACATAATTTAAGATATAGAAACAATGCAGAAACAAATGTAACCTTATTGCAAATTACAAGGAGAAATGTGATTTTGTGTATCTGTGTGCTTGTGTACACAAACAACAGAATGACTAAAGATATAGATAAAACCAAAGTCCAGATAAACTGAATTAATTCATACCCATGCATGAAGTGGTATGCATTAAATTTTGCAGAAAATAGAGTTGTGCTATCTTTTTGCCTCAACAAAATCAAAATCTGCCCTTTTAACTTCAAACTCAGACTAACGTGAGATTTATGACTCTCACTGATTAGCAGCAAGAAAAGAAAAGAAAAGAAAGAACTATAATTTTATTTTTAAAGGCCTAAAAGCATAGACAAAGTAAGCTGCTTTAAGGAAGAGCTAATATTAACCTGAATAATCCTTTTGAGGATTTTTTATTCATTTCCAGCTGCCTATTTTCTGATCTCCAACTGTCTCTAAAAGAGCTAGCAAGCAGTTAGAGTAAAACTGTGGTTTGGATTGTGCTGACTATTTCTTCTTGATGCATGAACTAATCTCTTTGCTCAGATTCAAGAGAATGGCTTACCCAACTTTGGTAGTGTCACCCAATGACAAAAGGAACCTATGGTAAATATGGTAAACTCTGGTAAATTATGTGGTGAATAAGTATTGTAACAGAAGCAGAGTGTGGAGTAAGATTATCAGAATTTGGTTATTATCCAAAAGGAATAATTGGCAATAAAGTAGACCTAATATTTATGGAAAGGTAAAGCAGAACAGCAACTTATACAGATAAAATATTGACCTCTCTAAAAACTGGAACATCGAAACATTTAGATTCAGTTTTAATCTTCAGAGGAAATTCAGTTTTAAATTGGCTCTAGTCCAATTTGATTAACATCTTTGACAATTATAGAAATGAGTCCAAGCTTGTGCAATCTCAACCCATATATTTATATATTGGCACCTTTTCAAAGTCTTGCATTCCTAAAGCCAAATGTAGAAAAATGCCCATCTCATGTTTAGGACTGCATAGGAGCATGATCATTCTTTATTTCAGTGTTCTGGTTATGATTTTGTTCCTGTTGCAGATTTTTAACTCTAGCTATTATTACAGCTTTCATCCATTAGAAAAGGTAGTTTCTGTCTTAATGCAAACATTTCTCCTTCCTTAATCTGCTTTCATATATTACAGTCCACTTCCTTATTTGTTGTTTGCATTTAATGTTCAGTATATCCTGTTTCTTGCCTGAAGAAGTATAATACAAATCTTTAATATTTTTATCCTCACAACAGTAAAATAGATTTGGCTGTTACACTGTCTGGTCTAAAATGCACAGTGAATTCCATGCCTCAAGTCCAGCACTTAATCATTTTATTATAAGTTTATTGATGTATGAAATTATAGCTGTCTTCCCCTTCTAACTATCTATTTGAAGGCTACATTTTCTCAGGGCTAATTTGTTGAAGATTACATGATTGGGGCTGAAGCAAAAGATGTACTAAATGAAACTAAATGAGCCAAAATGAAAATATTCTCACATGCCATTCCTCTGGTATAAAGATGTGCTTATTAATTATTATTTTAGGGTCATGACATTGTGCCCATGTCATCTCCAGAAAATCAAATTTCACTTTGGTGCCTTCAGTATGAACATCACATTTTCTTTCACCTCCTGAAACAAAACCTGCCATTTAAATAATCTAAGGTGACCTGGAGATAAATCTGGGAATGATAAAGTTGAAAAACTGTCCAAGTCCTGTTACTGCATAAATCTAATCCCCTCTTCCCATCCATGGCCACTTAGACTCTGGTTGATAGACACTAGACCCAAGGTTTGTGCATGCTTTTTTTTTTTTAAAGATGGGATGGGGAGGTTGGATATCAATCCCATAGAAGAACATATGCAATATTCCCATATCCATTAAACAAAAAACCTAAACAAAAGCCTCTAAAATGTATTTGAGTTTACAGATTGATATCAAAGAGGGTGCTTCACATTTTGTTAGATATGTTTGTAAAGGATGACTGCTTGCAAAGAAATAGGAAGCTCTGGAAGTAACTGAGCAAGAAGACTGCAGGGATTAGATAGATGGCAGGTGATGTTCTTCCTTAAACCTGGGAAAGCCATCACTGGTAATGGATGAACGTTCATTGAACCTTGTTTTGTGTTGCAGTTGATTTGGTGGTCTTCCTTTTGGTCACAAACACACAATGAAACAGATCAAACAAGCCAAGACAAAAACATTTCTTGTCCAGCTGCTTCAGCTGCTTCAGGGCTGGGCAGCAAACATACTTTTTCCTAGGAGTAGCAGATCAGAAACCCTTGCTGGCATTTCAGCATTTAAGAGCCCCTTTGGGTAAATTAGCTGCCTGGCTGGAGAGAGACCCAGAGAATCTTCCAAGATGCTGAAGAGGACAGTCCTTGAAGAAAATTTGGCCCCAAATCTTTGAGACTGGTCTTTTGGCTACCTTCTTAGAAGCCATTAATTAGTCTTCATGTGATTGATTGTTGTTCTTTTAATTCTGGCTTGGATTCTGATTCTGTTCTCTATTGTTGAGTAGAGCTTGGCCCTGCTGACCTAACCAGAAAAACAGTGTGTGATACTCTCTTTAAGGCTAAATTCAAGGAAGAGCAGTCTGCTTGCCAGGACTGCCACTGAGACTCCAGCTCTCCATCTGCATGCAAAGTAGGAAGCAATGCAGACAGCTGAGATAGTATATGGCACTAAATGTGCAGCTCTCTTGGAAGTCCACAAGTCCACAAAGATTGGGAAGAAGGAGTCTACTTTTTTCCTGCCTAGTGCCTAGTCAGAACTCTCAAATAAGGCTCAGCCATTTTATAAGGAAGATTCATAGAAAAGCCAACTCCTAGTACACATAGTAAACACAACGCCTACAATTCCCCGCTTTGGTTAGTGAAAATAAGAGCTGCTTGAAATACAACCCTGATTCCCCATATGTTCAGGAAAATGATTTGTGGTTGTTTTTCCAGATGGCAGGTGACACTGGTTGGAAGGCAAAAAAGACTTCAGGGAATTCACTAATCAGTAAAATGGTAAGGACAGCATTGCTGAAGCACTGTAGAGCTCAGCTGTGAAGGCAGAACAATTTATATTTATATACTTTTCTGCCAATTTAAGGATTAGAAGAAAGCACACTAAAGCAACAGAGAGAGTCTCAATTTAACATCCTGGACAGTGAGTGTAGTATGATAGTTAAGATGTTAAACTGGTGCTGGAGACACCCAGTTTAAAGCTACCTTCATTTACATAAGCTCACTGACCACAGGCCAATCACTGTCTATCCACCTATCTCACAGAGTTTCAGAGGAAAATGGCAAAAGGGAATGCTAGATATAAGCCATCTTCAACTCCTACCCTAATGACAGGATATAACGATATGTTAAAATTAATATTTTGCTTCCATTCTTTCTAATATTCCTGTTCTTTAACTTAGCAGGTGTTTGCATCTATTCATTTATAATAAAATAAATTGCCTGGACTTTATCATGAACTTTTTGTTGTTTAGATTACATTGGTCTCCTTCTTCCAGAGGGAAATCATTTTTCATTTTTTTTCATTCTGCTTTGGTCATGAAAGAACAATTTTTTGGGTGGGTGGGTGGGAGGGGGATAATTGATTTGCTTCTTAGATTTGTTTTACTTTTTCATATACAATTGTTATTAATTACATTAATGTTTAAATGATTAATAAAGAGTAGGTTGGTGTCATGCTGTCCAATATGAATTGTTCTGGAATTACATTGGGAATCACAATATTCTAGTAGGTGAATATAAATTCTGTACTGACATTAATAGCCAGCTTCTGATTTATCTGATTGTGTACTCTTCCAAAACAACCTAACTTTATTTTTTCTTTATGGCATTTTCAGGGCATTCTTAGTGTCTTGCTGTGTTCCAGATGTGTTACTGCATTCCAGGTACATCTGTTTTTCCCTGCTCATTCTTCCTCCCACTCACTTCTCTTTTGTCAACAACAACATCAATCAACTTGTTTTGACGGGATTTCTTAATAAGCCAGGTTTTGGGACTCTTTCACAGTGCCTTTTTCTACATTATTTGGATATTATTGCTAACAATCCAGTTCTTCGTTAGCAAACGTTATTGATAAAAGAAGTGAAAAGTATGTGATTATAACTAGCCATATTTTGTTTTGGCTTCTCTCCAAAATGTGAACTTTTGATGAATGTGCCTTTCAACAAGACTGAAATATCTGAGCCATAATAGGACAGTTAGGGCTCTTAGAAACAGCACCAGATTTCTACTACACAGAAGCACAATCTGACTATCCTTCTTCCACATGCTGGGGCTATGACATTCCCATATTGACTTGCTGATATTTTGACATGGTATGCAGTTTGTAAAGCTGTGCCAAATAATTGTTAGATCAGTTCTGATTTCAGAGGAGAATATTGTGGTATTTCTTTTGTTATTTCTCATTGCCCATGTTTAAAGATTTCTTAGAGACCAGATCAGGTAGAGTGGAGAAATTTAGGGGAAGGCCAGGAACCTGCTAATCCGAGTGTAGGCTGTTAAAGCTTTTCCTGCCTTTCATTTTAAAATGTAGGGTATGACATCCAACTTCTTACCAATCATCTTTCACCCTTGTTCTTTCCATGGATGGTATGAACCTCCTTTCATATTTCCAGTCTTCATATAACAGTTCCTCTCCTGCCCTGAGCAGTCAAAATTCAGCTTGTTTTTCTTGTGTCCTTAATAATAATAACAATAATTTACCTTGTAGTTAACTAGAAGTTGTCTATTTTTAGCTTCAGCACCTGTTTGTTCCAATGTTATATTTTATGTTAACAGCATCCAATGTAACTTCAACATTCATCTATAAAATGTGGTAATGTTGCTCTTTTTCAACAGATATAGTTGCAGAACTAAAATTCATGAAATGTACATTCAAACATCTTTCTTGGCATAGAAAATAAAATGGCTTTGTTTGTAATATATCCTGTTTAAATAATCCATATGAAACCTTTCTCATTTCCATTTGCTAATTCAAACTTGTTATAATAATCTTTTAAAAGATTTAAAGGAATGCTATTAAATTTGACATGCAGTACATTTTCAGAAAGTTTTATCTTGCAACACTCTAGGCTTCAGTATTCCACTTACTGGCAACTGATTGATATTAAGTAAGCAAAGTGAAACTCCCTATAACATGAACATAATTTAAGAAAAAAAGTTATTGATAAACTTGCTTTAAGGCTCCAGAATTCATGAGAGTTGCCTCAATGCCATTTTATTGAGAGCTAATGGACGTGAAACACTTTGAATATTCAAAATGTACTTGAAATATAAAAGGCTATTATTATTTCTAATAATAACATCTTATAATAGATCCTACTAAAAGGGTCACTATATTTTTAAACCAGCAAGGAACAATGGCAAACTCATATTAAGAAATGGCAACAAATTGGTTCTCAATTGTGATGCTGAAAGCCAAAGTCTGAATAGAAGTAGGCTGTTATCTTCATATCTTATTCTTAGGTCTTGTTTGCCTAATTAGAGACCTCTCTATCATCAGGCCATAAATCTATAAACTTATCTGAAACCAGACAAATGGTGGTATTTCCCATTGAAATAAAGATAAATTTTAGTTTAAGTAAATGTATTTTGTGATGCGTTCTAAAAAGCACCACACAAAACAAAACAAAAAAGCTTTTAGCTGCAAGGCTCTCTTTTAACCATAGCACTTAACAGTAGCAAAATTATTGTTATGCAATTACAATCATGCCCTTGAAAAAGCCTATGTGTAGGATTTACACAAAGCCTTCCTCCCCCCCCCAATATCTTCATCAAGATATGAAAGCCTTGAGAATTGTTCATCAGAAGAGGCAGAAAACTACAATTTATAAAATTATAGTAATATATAAATGTATTATAAAATTTGTATTTTCATTTTAGTTTAGGGATGGCATTAATATGTTTGACTTTAAGTCATCAATCAGTAGTAAAAACATTTATCTAAACTAAAAAACTCTTTTTAAGATAACAATTGGGATATGCTTCAATTATGGGTTTCCACTAATATTCTCCTTAAGGATTATTAGTTATTTTCCAGCATCATATTTCTGTTTTTTAGCAATTTAGTTTGTGACTATTTAGTAACAAAGTTTTTAATTTATTAATTCTGAAAAACTTAATATGATCTCCCGGTTCTATAATTCAAGGATACATTATGATTTTAATGTAATTTTCATTAAGGAATGAAGAATTTCATATTTATAGTTTTTCAATACAAAATAATATATGAATACCACCTATGGCCACTGTTGGCAAAGGAACTATAAAGAATTCAAGCCGTGCCGGGAATCTTATTTTTACCCCCTAACAATGGGGAAAAATTATAACAAATCCCTAAAGCAATTTTATAAATAAAATTTATGTTGGATGGGCCGTATGATAACTTGCTATTTATAATTTAACTAATGCATTGTAAAACAAACAAACACAGAATACCTTGCTAGAACAAACTCTGCCCACCTAGTCTAGTCAAGAGGAGGTCTATTGAAAATCCTCTGCTCTCATGAGATTCACAATGTATGGAGGAAATGTCATCCCTTTTCTTTAATAATTTTTACCTTATTTACCTTTTCCAGAAGGGCATCTGGCATAAACTTTCATGCAATTCTACAAATCCTACAAGAAATCTTCTGCAATTCTAGTAAACACATATTTCAACATGATTTTGATTGCAGCTGACAAGCAGGAGGCCTATATTGGATTTTATAGGGTATTTTATCTCTGCTTTTATGTAGGGTTTTATGTTGTTTTATTTTTTTATACTGTTCCAATTTGTCTGTTTAGATTATGCTTTCCCCCCTCTGTGTTTGAAGTTGTACACTAACCAGAATCCTTTGGGACATGGGTGGATTATATGTATTACGAAATACATACATACATATATATCATGTGAGTTGGAGTATCTGCTAGGCATTTAGGGAAATTTGTAGGTTAAGTGCTAACTAGATTTCTCCAGAATGTAACTGATCCAACTTTATAAATGCACTCCATTTTCCCTCATAATAACCAAGTACCTCAACGAGGAGTCTTGCTCTCCCTTTACAAAATATCAGGGTCGACTAAGTTACTTCAGTCAATTGATCACTTCATTAATAATGGTCCCTGCATGGATGCAGAAGCTGCTGTTAGCAAGAAAAGAAAAGCTGCCCTTCTCCTCTATTATTTGAAAAATCGTAGCAAATGATGGATTCACATATCATTCTATTCTTTACAGTCCTAGCACTCTGCACTGTAAATTAACTCTTCATACTAAGGCATATTTTGTTCTGATTCCACTCTACCAAATGAACTATGCTGGCCTACTTCGCATAGTAAGTCAAAATGAATGCTTATGAATCATATCCTTAGATTCTCATGATGCTGTGAACCAAAGCCATGACATATGTTTAGTCTGGTCACATGAATTGTCCAGATTCATGCCCTGAACTCATAATTTTCCATTAGGCCCAGAAGGAACTTATATTTGCTTCAAAATCCATGAAATCTTCCTTACAATCAGGAACTCTGAGAAAGAGTTTTTGATTATACAGTGGCTTTTAGTGCTATGATTTAAAATCCTTTACACCTTCTAATTGGACACTGAAAATGTTTAGAAATGAGCAGAGAAAATGTTTGGGAAAAGACTAAGTTGACTGTCTACTTAGGACTATACACGAGGTATGCAAACATATTATTACATACAGCCAAATTTGCTGCACGCATATTATCACTTTTTTATTCATATAACGTTTTCTACAGTATATGCAAACAGCTAGTTTATGATTACTGCAACCTTGAATAATGTAATATTCATTTACTGTGAATTATACATTGATGCTAGATGACATTTAATGTAAATCAAAATTCAGTTAATGTGAGGCTAGTGGATGTGCATTTGATGTTGCCAGGTTGTTGTGAGGGTTTTAGATGCTGCTTGTTTATTTTGTGTGTGCAAAAGGAAGATTCCTTTGGTTGAAAACACTACAAGCTCAAAAACAAAGAGGCTGATTGCTACATTACAGCAAAAATTGATGTGACTGAATGACATGAAAGTGGTCATAGCAACTCTAATATAGGATGACATGTTGGAATGACTAAATCTGTAGTACATAATATTACAAAATGTGCAGTGGAAATAAAAGAAAAAGGTAAAGTTCCATCTGCTTTTTGTGGCTTGCAAATATCTACAAGGAATAGAAGTGTTACAATGATAGAGACAGAGTATTTTTTAAGTGTATAGATTAAAAATTGAAATAAAAAATACATTCCCCACCCCCAACAGAGCACCCATTCAGATAAAAGTTTTAAATCTGTTTAAGTAAAAAAAACCAAACAAACATGAAATAGGAACAATGATTAAGGCAAATATTGGTTGGTTTGATTGATTTAAAAATGGAGCAAGCTTACCTTTAGGAATTATATTTAGAATTATTTTATTTTTGCTTTGTTTTCTATAAATACTGACTGCTAATAATACATTTAGATTATAAGTATATTCCTTCTCTCCTTTACTCTACTATTTCATTAATAAACATATAAAAATTCAATTTTTATTTCTGCCTGGAACCAATTAACATTTTACAGAGAAATATTATTTGTAATAATCTGAATTCAAATAATGTGATCATTTCATAACATTCGTTATCCACACTATTTGAAATCTAGCTGAATATTGAACCTGATGGACAAGTGGTCTAGGTTAATATTAAAACAACTTTATTGAAGAAAACTGAGTGTGTTTCTGAAGAGCCTTCTAAAACCAATAATTAAAAAAACCCTTGCAATTTATTTCCCATAGTTTTGTTTTTAGTTCACAATATAGCATTCCTCTGTCATTGTACTAGAACCTGTCTTGTTACCTGCAAATTTCTTGCCTGTGAATGTTCCACTTGCTAGTTAAGTGTAACTCAAATTTATTCTTCTCTTGTCCTGATTCTTCACTGAAACATTGACTGAAGTCTTCGCCTTCTGTAGCTGAATGTCATGTTTTCATTACTGATCTCTTGATGACTTTCAAGAAGAATGACAGCAGAGTATATGCATGAAAAGATCAGTAAAAACTTCACAATTAACTTTGGTGCCCTTGACTGTTACTTTCGGGTTTTGCTAAAAATAGAGGAAGCTCAAGTAATATTCAACAATATAGCATGTTTTAACTGGCCTTATCATAACAGAATGACTCTCATGCAATCATTCAATTGAAGTGGGAATTGCAAATGATCCTAATTAAATTAATTAAAAGAAATAAATATTGAAATAGTAAAGCAACCTTTCTTAAAAGGTTCTGTTTCCACATTATTACAAAATCAGTGTTCTCTGTTACGTTGTGATTTTTGAGTATTGTCAGTATCCTCCTATGTTATTTTCTGTTTATCTGTATAATTCCAGATACTCCACAATACTGAATTGCACATTATGTATTTAACATATTGTCTTGTTGCCATCACTCATTTATTAATAATTTATTGAATAAGCCGCAGCTGCCCAGGCTTATATAACATGCAATGCCAGATGCAAATAAATCACATAATGGTTTAGAAGAATTGAGCAAACCTATTGTGAATGTCCAGGTTTTAGTCCATCTCCACTTAGAAGCCAGCTCTGATGCATTGCCTATTAAACTGAGGAAACTGTTGACAGTTAAATAGGCCTTTAAATTTCATGGCTGCAACTTGTTTTTTAATGTTTAAGCATTTTAACATTCTATTACCTGTTTTGTACTTTGATTGTAAATTCTTTAAACCTACAGTAATTGGCAGTATACTAATTCCTTTTTAAAATAAAGATTCTAGGACCCATAGCTGAGAAATATTTACAGCTGAGACCATGCAATTTTAAATTGCCAGCAGTTCTGAACTGCACATTGGTACTAGAATACTGTACCCAGCAAGGTGACAATAGCTTGTCAGACTGCTAATTCAAAAGCAAGCAGGGCTGAATCTCATTCATGCTTCAATGGAAGAATAATAGTCTAGACTGGACAGTTGAAAACATCCTGGGAGAAGACAGTGGGAAACTATTTCTATATTATGCTATGAAAGCTACATGTGCATATCACTATGCTCACCAAGAATTGAGCTTGTTTCCAGGAGGTCTTTACTCATTTATTTATGTGATCTATATCCATCTTTCTGCTTCACTGAATATTCAAGGCAGCAAACCGTCATTTCCCAATCATGGAAATTAAGTTAATATAAAAGAAAGGAAAAAAAAACAGAAAAGTTCAAAACTATCTCAACAGAGAATGATTTTCATAAAGAAAATACAGGTAGTCCTCGGCTTACGACCACAATTGAGCCCAAAATTTCTGTTGCTGAGTGAGACATTTGCTAAGTGAGTTTTGCCCTATTTTACTACCTTTGTTGTAATAGTTGTTAAGTGAATCACTGTAGTTGTTAAGTTAGTAGCATGGTTGTTAAGTGAATCGGGCTTTCCCATTAACTTTGCTTCTCAGAATGTTGCAAAAGGTGATCACATGATCCCAGGACACTGGAATTCTCATAAATGTGAGTCAGTTGCCAACTGTCTGAATTTTGATCATGTGACTATAGAGATACTGCAATGGTCATAAGTGTGAAAAATGAACTTATGATGTAACTTTGAATGGTCACTAAGTGAAATGTTACATACATACATACATACCATATTTTTCGCTCCATAAGACACACTTTTTTTGTCTCCCAAAAGTGGGTGGAAATGTCTGAGCATCTTATGGAGCAAATATTGCCGAAGCCCCGCCGACCTGCCAGCCCCCACTCTTCAGCCATTTTTTGCTTGCCCCATTTTCGGCCTCTGCGTGCCCCATTTTTGGCCTCTGCATGTATCATTTTTTGCCTCTGTGTGCCCTGTTTTTTGCCTCTGCATGCCCCATTTTTGGCCTCCATGCATCCCATTTGCAGCCTCTGTGCACCCTGTTTTTGGCCTCCATGCGTCCCGTTTTTGGCCTCTGCATGTCCCATTTTTCACCTCTGTGCATCCTGTTTTTGGCCTCTGTGCGATTCCCTCCCAACAACCAAAAGAAGAGGCAGCCATTATGGCTGCTGTGAAGCTGGGGCAGCTGAAGAAACAAAGAATGTGCTGGAGTGGTGTAGATCAACAGTGATAGGAACTGGGTGAGGTGATTCTTTTTTTACCTAGAACCTAACCCCAAAGAAAATAAACCCTGGAAAAGAGATTCTTTGAAATGCTTGTTTAAGTGACAAATAATTACAGAGAGAAAAATTACAGACCTGAAAGAAAAGGAATTAGGAAAAGGAGAGCACAAAACCTTTAAAATATAGAAAGATTGGAGTTTCAAACTTTATTGGCAATATTTTGGTAAGGCATTTTAAAATGCAGAAATTAGTTGTCTGAATATTGATTATTTGCAAAAACTGAAATAAATATTTGTTAGATTTTGTGCAACATTGAAATTTAAGCTGAAGGCGCCATCTACTGGTTTTTAATGGAATATATACTAAACTCCTACAACCTTGGAAAGTACTGATAAGACAAAATAAAAAAAGTGGAAATAAGTAACATCTAGAGGACTGCTGTGCTATCTACTGTTCTATATCTGTCTACTTCATGGTTATTGGAGGGTTAACTGTGAGATTATGGAAGACATCTAAAGAAAGCAACTTTTAAATGCCAGGATCTATGACTGAATTTACAGAGTGGATTTAAGGAGACATTTGGAAATCTTCCTGGATTACCTAAATGGAACTAATTAACTAACTGTGAGACACAAAGAGCTATTACTATTGCATTCCCCTGAGGAGCAGTCATAGACAATTGAGACTTTGGGGCAATGACAGACTACTGACAGTCTATTGAGCAGGGGTGAAATGCTACCAGTTTGGGCTGGTTTGCCGTTTCAGTAGTAAAAAAAAAAATGCTTCTGGTTCACCGAACCGGTAGTTAAAAAAACGTAAAAAAAAAAAAAAAAGTTCCGCCGATCAGCTGAGCGACGTGAGATCGTTGGAACTTTTTTTTTTTACTTTTTAAGCATTTTTTTTACTACCGGTTCAGGTGAATAGGTAATTAAAAAATGCTTTAAAAAAGTAAAAAAAGGCTCGGATGATTGCGATCTTGGGAACCTTTTTTTAAACTTTTTTACTTTTTTAAAGCATTTTTTACTACCTATTCGCCTGAACCAGTAGTAAAAAAATGCTTTAAAAAGGTAAAAAAAAGGTTCCCAAGATCACAGCTGTGCCACACAATCATCGGACTCCCCCCACCCCACCCCTTTTCTTTTTTTTTTTACTTTTTAAAAGCATTTTTTACTACCTATTCGCCCGAACTGGTAGTAAAAAATGCTTTTAAAAAGTTTTTTAAAAGGTTCCCAAGATTGCACGCCACAGCTGATTCTCCTGTCACTGTTCTACTTATGCTGTTCTACTTCCCAAGCCTCCTTTTTGAGTGTATCACGAATGTGCACACAGCGCACATTTGGTGTGAAGTGTGCATGTGCGCATGCAGTGTGCACTTGGCCCACAGTGCACATTCATGGCCAGCAAACCGGTAGCAAACAGATTCAGATTTCACAACTGCTATTAAGCAATATTTGGACCTATCAAAATAAGACAAGATGTTGCATTAGGGGAGATGAGTGAATTTCAAAAAGAAATGGTGTTGATGCTCCAAAGTACTTATGATATGTTGATAAATAACCAGAGGGAGATAAAAGACTTAATGCATGACGTGGGGAAATCAGAAAATGTTCAACAAGGGACAATGAATAAAGATTATAAAACACAGGAAATAGAGGAGATAACAGAAAAACCAGAGGAAAAGAGAGAACAGATAAATCAACAAATAAAACAAGAAGAGAAGAAGACAATAAACACTTCTGAATCAAATAAGGGACATTATATAGTAAAACATCAAAAAATGGGATTGGATAAAAAGAAAGATAGTTTTGAAGAGAAGAGGTTCAGCACCAAGAGATAGTAGAGATGGAAGAAATATTTGGACTGAAATAGTAGGAAAGATGTAGACAGAGACAAAGACCCAAGGGAGGAATTTGGGAGGCAAGTCAAAAAACGAATAAGAATTGAAATACTAAAGCGGGCAAGAAATGATGTTTAGAAAGGGAATGCTGTTTATATAAGATTGGCTTTATTGAGAGCTAGAATAGAGGTAGAAACAAGATCAAGGGGGATTATATTTTATATAATATACTAAAAGTAATAGCTAGATGTAAAGATTAGATGTTGAAAGATGGTATCACTATGTACATTTGAATAATATTGTAACTGTTATTAGAATGGCGCCCAAAAACACTGAACAATTAAACAATGAAGGAACATACTCTAATACAAATATGTATAATAATCCCACAATTACACAAGTGTGGTTAATGTAACAAATATTATTAATATCACTATTATTATTTGTATTTAAATGAATGATACCCAGATCCCACACTGTTCATATAATGATATTGATGTATATCCAAATAATAATAATAATAATAATAATAATAATAATAATAATAATAATAATAATAAATAAAATAAAAACATTTTTCAAAAGACTTCCAATAAATTGTCATTGTAATATGTAAGACAATCAGGTAAAACAAATCAGCATTAATAAAGGAGAATGTTAGCACTGAATACAGTCATTTCATTTGGGTAATGAAATGACTGTAAGAAAACAAGCAAGCTCAGAGAGTACCAAGGACCTCCCAAATCAGTATTAAGTCTGCTGCACTTCTAGTGTACTTCTAAGTGCAAGTTAAGATGCTGATTGTCACTTAGAAGCCAACACTTGGTCTCCTAGGTATAGATTACTCATGATAATAATGTGAAAATGATGAAATAGATGTGGTTATTTTATGACACTATATCTGCATATCATACACACTGAAGTGTATAACAGGCATAGTTTATGAAATTACCTTTCCCCACAGTCATACCCTGCCTTTCATATGAGTCAAAATTTCTCAGACTGACAAATGTTTAATGACATATGCTCTCTATGACCCATGATGAAACAAGAACCAAAATTTATCTAGGAAAGGAAACATTTGAATGACCTAATGAAGAAGATAATTGAGAAGAATATTTAATAGCTAGGAAAACTAAAGAGCTCATTCTCATCATTGTACCTGCAATCAAACAATATGTTCCAAGGATTCTTTATCTTGTCACAAAGCTTTGATCTACTTGAAGAGTTTCAAGCTTGAAGTGTAGTGAAATATCTTTCCTTAGGCTGCAATCTCTGAATGTTTTGAGAATGGAATCTGAAACAGACAAAAACAGCAGCAGTTCTTTTTAGTATTCAACATAACACCCTGGTAATTTATAAAGAACATTCAGAAATCATGACACTGCTGCTGAAAATTAAGCTTTAATCACAAATGTTTGTATGTTCCACAAAAACACCTAGCAACTAGCAATTTCTAATCAAGTCAAGCCCAGTACCAAAATATCAATGATCTCTTAAGGTGAGAATACTGTGGCACTGTTTGTATGGACAATATAAAGTTTATAAAAACAAAAAATCACTCAGCCCAAATAATCCTCAAAAATTATGGCTATGTAAAAAAAAAAATTAAAGAATATACTCACAATTCCCATAATTTTGACAAAGTTTAAATTTAAATTTAGAAATAAATATTGCAATGAATACCAGTGATAATTAACACTGTACTGCTTGAAAGCTCATCCCACTCCCCAAAAAGTTTATAATGGCCCAGAGTGATGACTATCTCTGTTTATAATACTTTAACGTGAGATTTAATAATAATTAATTATATGCTATGGACTTTTCAAAATGTATCACAATAAGAAGCTTTTTGACATCTAGAGAGAGAGACTAGAAAAAGTGCAGAGAACAGCAACAAAGATGACTAGGAGAATGGAGGATAAAACATGACAAACAGTTGCAGGAACTAGATGTGTCCAGTCTAATAAAGGGAAGGACTAGAGGTCACTAGGATAGCACAAGAAGCAATGGATGGAAGTTTATCAAAGAGAGCTACAACCTAGAACTAAGGAGAAATTTCCTCACAGTGAGAACAATTAATCAGTGAAATGGCTTGCCTCCAGAAGTTGTGGATGCTTCATCACAGGAGGTTTTAAGAAGAGATTGGACAGCCATTTGTCCTGAATGGTAAAGGGTCTCCTGCTTCAGCAGGGGGTTGGACTATAAGACCACTAATGTCCCTTTCAATTCTGTTAAACTGTTATTGTTACTGATATTAATATGATCATGTATAGTTTTATTATTTATTTAAGTTAAATAATAATATTCAGAGTTTTTTTTAAAAAAATAGAAATACATATATCTCCATATTCGAATTAAATAATATATTACAAGAACATTTTATGATATTGCTGGGGTGGCTACATTTGATTTCAAACTGTGTGTTTTCATGTTGTTGTATAGTAGACTTATATTTACTATAGTTAATTTTTCTCTCTTAGTATATTTCCTTTGGCCACTAGGTATATAAAAGAAATCCATAATTTTAGTGAAAACAAAAAACATCACTGAATGGGATACACTAGTATTAATTGTTTCTCTTTATTCAAAGTTTGTATCTGAGAAATATGAACTAACAACAAAAGCATATCTGAGAAATAGTTACAATAAAAAGAATTGTAATACTTAACAACTAAATTTCATTTAATTAGGATTGAACTAAAATATAAAGTATGGATTCTCTCTCTTATTAAAATTCTTGTAGTGGTTTGTGAGTCAAATTTGTGTATCACTATCCTACAATATCTCAAAAGTCTTGAATATCAGGTCATGTTGTCATAGGCTGATAATTTTTTAAGTAAAATTGTCCCTATAATTCTTTATCAATGTCTAAATGTGACTGTTTCAACCACAAATCTGGGTACTAGAATCTTTCTACCTATCAGATATATCCATTGCAAGCATTCACTTAAATTCCTTAGGTTTTGAAAATGGATCATAGTATGTACACCCATCACTATAAATTAACCTTTGTATTAATTACTATTACAATTAATTACTATAAATTGTTTTAGCTGTTATTATTGCTTTAATTGTTATTTTTAACTGTTTTAATGTATAAATTACTTGAATTATTTAGTCTTTGTTTTAATTACATAAAAAAGTCATTTTCAGCACCACATGGGCAACTGTATAATTTCAACAAATAACTTAAAAGGGGTGGCATCAGAGGTGGATTTCAGCAGGTTCTGGTGAGTTCTGGAGAACTGGTAGTGGAAATTTTGAGTAGTTCGGAGAACCGGTAGTAAAAATTCTGACTGGCTCCGCCCCCATCTATTCTTTGCCTCCCGAGTCCCAGCTGCTCAGGAGGAAATGGGAATTTTGCAGTAACCTTCCCCTGGATTGGGGAGGGAATGGAGATTTTACAATATCCTTCCCCTGCCACGCCCACCAAGTCACACCCACAGAACTGGTAGTAAAAAATTTTGAAACCCACCACTGGGTGGCATGATAGCTAAGTGGTTAAAGATGCTGAACTTATCAGCTGGACAGCCCAGGTTTCAGGCCCGAGCATCACGCAACGAGCTGAGCTCCCATTATTTAATCCTATTTTTTGATCTCTTAATATATATTATCCCTTATTTGATTCATAAGTCTTTATTGTCTTCTTCTTCTCTTCTTGTTTTATTTGTTGATTTATCTGTTCTCTCTTTTCCTTGGTCTTTCTGTTATCTGTTGGCTCCTACCCACCAAGCAGTTTGAAAGCATGCACATGCAAATAGATAAATATGTACCACTTTGGTGAAAAGATGACAGCATTCCATGCAGGCTGGTGGTGCAGCTGGCCACATGACCATGGAAATGTCTTCTGACACTGGTTCCTTCGGGTAAGAAACGATAATGAACACTAACCCATAGAATCAGACACAATTGGAAAGGGGAAAACTTTACCTTTAATAATAAAAATATGCAGGTAGAAGCCACACTTCCATCACATCGGCCATCCTGATTTAAAAACAACAACAACAACAAAAAAAAACCCAAAACCTCATCTCTGCAAACACGACTTCATATGTCTAAGGAAATCTGCGAGGAGCCAAAGGACAGTTTTAAGATTTGTATTTACTTATTTTAATTTCATGATTTGGGCGTGAAAAAATTATCCACACTGACACTTTTTCTTTTATTTAGATGATAGATTGATCTTGCCCTTCTACTTCTCCCCGCTTTCTCTTCCTCTTCCTGGTTTTTAGAGACATTGAAGATGACTTTTTAAATGCAAATAGTAATACCATTTGAGTTATGGTTGTAATGTTTCCCTGCTATTAAAATCTCTGTGGGACATGAAATCAGAAACAATAAAAATCTTCCATGGCTGAAAACAAAAATGTCATTGATCTCAAATTATGTGTTACACTTGTTTTTGTGCTGTGTACAAGGAGCTTGAATTAAAGCAACATCCATAAAACTATTCTGTGGATAAAAATAGATGCAACCTTATTAACATCAACATTGATGTATTGTTAGGAGAGAATCTATTTTATTTCTACACTTAAGAATGACAGTTTGATGAAAGTTATTTATATTTCTTTCAGATGCAGATTTGTCTTTAACTAACTGAGGCAGGTGTTAAATGTTATGGCCAATGCCATAATAATGAATTTAGTTAATCAATTTCTACAGATTCACACCATGAAATAAATTAATGTTTATACTGTCGCCAGATGATTCCTGTGTCTATTTAGTTTACACTTCTTTTTTAAAAAAATCTTGCCTATGTTACATATATGTGGGATGAAATAATCATCCAAACAATTCTCCAAATCTTAAATCATCAGAAAGCTTGTAGCAAATGGAGTAAACATTTACAATGGAATAGATAAAACCATTTATTCTGTGTTTTATAGCACAAAGTTTGAACAATTACAAATAGCACATTGCCTGTGCTCATAAATAGAATCGTGGTATCTGGCTCTTGGGAGCCAGTATCTGGCTCTTGGGAGCCAGTTAAGGGACCAGGCTAGAAACCAGCATCTGGGTGACCTTGGGCCAGTCACATTCTTTTAGCCCTAGTAAGGAGGCAATGGCAAAACATTTCTGAAAAACTTTGACAAGAAAACTGCAGGGACTTGTCCAGGCCATCACTGAGAAATGGATACTATTGAACAGAAGAAAAAAATGTATGAGTTGCTAGTTACGTAATTGCTATTATATGATAATGTAATTTTTCCATAAGCATGTTTGCTTTTTGTTATCAATGACAAGAACAGGAATAATGATTACATAAGCACATAGATTAGATGGCTAATTGGTAAATTCTACCTCCCCAGCCTGAGAGCACTCTGGTGACCATCCCTTCTGTTTTAGAATAAACCTGATTTAAATCTTTACTACAGTTTACAAATTAACAATTTTGACTCTCCATTTAGTATTTCAATCAGTTGTTGAAAACCTCTCTCTCTCTCTCTCTCTCTCTCTCTCTCTCTCTCTCTCTCTCTCTCTCTCTCTCGTTAAATTAATTCTGTATAAGTGGGGCACACTTCTCATGCATCCTTACCCACAGGCCATTTGACTGATTTATAACTATGAAAGATTATTAATCTGTTTTTATAATACTGTCCAATTTTGAAAGGTAATATTGTGCTTAATATAATGTTGTGCTTAATATTAAACCACACATCAATGTAATTACTTAGAGAAATGCAAAGTATGTGATAAAGGTGCTTTGTTAACAGCTCTTTTCAAATTGTTGAGGCATCCATATTTTTACAGGCTTGCACATCTGTCTTTACCTTCATGTTAGGAACATCAATAGGAAGAAAACCATTCTGTGAACATAGATACATGGAAGGAACAATTATCTTTTTTATTTGCAAATGCTTTATATGCACTTATATAGAGAAAGTAACATTGAACTGAGTAGACTGATGACAAATTCTGCATATGACCTGTAAATATGCCCAGTGTTGAGATGTACACTGTTGAGATGTGTATTATGGCCAAAAAAAAAAATTAAGTACAATAATCTGCTATATGATCTGTCTTGATTCTGTTCAGCAAGATTGCCTAATCTTTGAGAATATTTGAAGTTCAAGCAAAACAGCTGTAATCCTAAAGGAGATCACTTATTATGAATGTTGACAGACTAATTTATCATATGCATAAAAGTACAACAGAATATTAAGCCTCTTCACCTCTCTGTCATCACCAATTGTATATCATTCCTTTGCATTTTTTTTTTTATCTTTTGAAAAATTGCTCAAGGCTAGACAGGACCTTAATTACAAGGAACTGTCACTGATTAT